TTTTTTTTTTATATTGCAAATGAAGAAAATAGCCCTTAGTTTCTTGCTTGCATAACTTTTGCTAACATACATTTATTACAGAAACAGTCTTGATATATGGGGTTCCATTTTTGTACTACATTTCTAGAAATTAGCTTTAATTTCAAATATACTACTTCAGACCATGTAAATCCATTTCTTTATACACAAGCAAAAACACCTTCAGCATTTTTTCTGTACAAGGTTATACACATATTTTCCTGAAATGTAATTTTGCTTCCCCCTAAGACAGGTGAGTACAGACCAGTAGGTAGTTCCTAAGTACCTCCTTAATAAATTTTATTTATGACATTACAACTATTCTAGCACAGGCTGAAACTAAACCTCAAATCTAGTATCATTCACTGAAGAGAAAATTTTTATCTGAAACAAAATCACAGATTTACAATAAAGTGTGCTTCAACCTTTGGTTTATTTTAAAAACATTCAGAAATTTACAGAATCAACATTGGTTTAGAATTACACTTCAACTTCAAATGAATTTGTTCTCAATTGTTTGAAGGATAATTGAGAAGGTTCTGCTTATGATGAAGCTAAAGAATTCTTGGTTTTGAGCTACTCTCAGGACCTCAGGAAATAAGTTTAATTAAAGACTTTGACACCAAAATCCATCCAAGTTAATATGCCTCAAAGTAAGTACAATTACATATCTTCATCAATTGCAAAATAACAGTATTTAAAATGTAATCTCAGTGTGTCCTAAATGTCTTCCATTTTAGATCCAACCATGATAAAATTGCTCCACTCTACACTTTTTTGCAAGTGTCTCAGTAGTGCCTTAAGGTTTTAGCTTCTTATGTGTTCTTCATGTATTTGTAGCTTTATACACTGTTAAGTGCCTACGTATAACTTCTAGTGCTTTTCCAGCTTTTTCCTGCAGTGAACAGACATATTGATGCTTTTCTGAAATTTAGTTTAATCTTGTCTGTTAGTTCACCAAGGAGTTTATATTTTGTACCATGTAATCGTAGATACAATAAAGGTAAGGTAAGAGATTGGGTGGACAGCTCCAATAGGTCAGAACCCACGGGGGGAAATTATTTCACCAACTGCTCCTCTTATTGGACAATACTGGCTAGACATTCTAATTGCCCAGTCTTATAAAATTGTACTAATCTGATTTGGGGTGTGGGGTTTGCCATATTGTGCACCCAAAGGCTTTCAAATAAAGGTTTGCTGTTATATTATCATTTTAACATTTTCTGGAAAGTTTGCATTCTATTTCCATTTCAAGGCATCATCAGCTTGTACTTACGCTATGGTGTCGTTGCTTACCAAGTCACTTACCTTCCCTGGAGCATTTGCTTTTCCTGAAAACAGCTCATTAATTCCAACTTGTACCCTCTCTTGAGTTTTCAGGCTGAGCTAGAAGGCAGAAGTTGGGTCAGGGCAGCAGGAAGTCCAGAGGTTGTGCCCCTTTAAAAAAAAATAACAGACAATGCCCTGGGAGAATTAAATAAACAAATAGAACGCCAGCCACACTTACAAGACTTTTATGCAGGTTTGTGTCAGGCCTTTGCAGCACTCATTAGACTAATTAGCTTTACTTCAGAATCTTAACATTCAGCAAGGGTATCCTGAGTAAATGTCCAACAGAAGGCTAGAGACTTCAGTGAAAATCAATGCTTACTAATACAGAGTAAACTGAATTATCTCATTGAGTTAAATATCTCTGTTAAATATCCTCCAGAGAACATCCAAAATTTGGGATTTTTTTTTTCAAATATCTATGAAGTTAACCAATATAATGTGCATTTTAGTGCAATCTGTTGACTTAACTATTTTTCTTTCTCCTAATTCTTGAATATTATTTTAAGCACCAGAGTCTCAGTCATTCCATTTGTCCCAATATGTATATTTGTGTGCAAAAACAGATTTGTACCTAAAGATCATATGATACTCCATGCCTTATCCTAGGTCAAATGATATTCCTCATCCCTAACACAGCAAATAAGGCAATAGCAGTTTATGAAAAAAGCCTGTCCTTCCACAAAGACATTTTCTTCAAAGTCATGGCAATCACATTAAATGTATCATGGAAAATGGAATGAAGATCTCAAGATAGGTAATTTCTTGCCTTTCTTTCTCATTGAGCAGATGGGATTAATGTGGATTCTATTTACACAAATTTTAGACCTTTTAAATAGAACAGTTAATATATTGAAAGATGTAACAATGGTGATATATACTGGGGATGTGGAACAAAGCTTTATATTTTAGGAAAGCAATAAAGAGAAGATTGCCACTGTTATTCGTGGATATGCTTACATTAAGTGATGCTTGGTTGTCATGTAAGAATTGAGCTACAGATTCTCCACATTTTCAGCTTTTTATTGAAAAATTGCCAAATAGTTCTGCTTTGTCATCAGAGAAACAGAAAAGAGAGCAAAGCTTCTTGAAATATCTTCCTATGAATTGTGAATGTAAACCCAAGGCAGGTGGTCCCACATGTACATAGGGAGGTATCAAGAAGTTCTGAGCACCCTCTGCCCACTTTTCCTTCCAAAAAATACCCTTCAGCCAGAACTGCCTATGAATTTCCTCTGCCACAGGAGTTGTCCCAAACTAGACCTTTTTAACTTAAATGAATTCTGTACACATTCTCTCTGCAATTTCTAAGAATCATTACATTATTTCCCTGTAATAATAATGAAGCCATACCATATATCCCTGAAATGCCTCTGGCTGGTTAGTTCAATATATGAGGAGAGGTAACAAGAGTAATCCCAAAATATACAAGGCCTTAAAAGAAAGACAACTCAGGTCATTCACAAAATCTTATGCTGCACCTATCCAACAACAGTCATATATAAATTTCAGCAGTATTAATTCACTATGTAGTCATTAAATGTTTGTTTTTTTTTTTTTTCCAAGGGAGTCATAAGATTTGCTCATTCTATCTGATTCTTCAAGATATGAACCTTTAGGACAAAGTATCCTGTATATAATTAGAACCCATAGGAATATGCTGATTTTAATTGCTACAGTCTTATCACTAAAAATAAGACCAGAGCAAATTTTAAATAGGTTTCCTCTAATTTTAGTTAAATTACACTTCCAGAACTGGCACCGTACACTCAGAGATACCTGCAGATTTACTTCACTTTTATTTATGTAAACTAGAAATATTATTTTCTGTTTTCATGAAGCATAGTTCCTACTTGTATGACATATATCATATACTTGGAAATTGAACTAGACTCCTGAATTGTTAGTTCAGAGGTGGACCCTAAAAGATCTGACATGACAATAAAATAGGGAAAATATAAAATAAGAAAACAGTTATTTGACTGTTGTTTGATACTGATGCATCTATAGGCTGCCTGGAAGCTTATGTATCTGCATTTTATGTGTCTGAGAAATGTTATGTAAGAATTATTAGTGGTATAGAAACTGTATTGAAATGGCACTGGAAGCAATAACTACATAGTGGAATTTGTATAGCACATGTAGTAGTGTGTTTATGTAGGTATTTAACTTCTGAGCAAGGCTCAGAGAAATATTCACTTCAAAGACAATCCTGACTGACAAAATATTCCCTCTTTCCCTCCCTTGAAAATCAGCTGCTGTCATTCAAAGAAGAAGCATCAGCTGTAGCCATAAGCTGACATCATATCTGGAACATTAAATGCTTGGGAGCCTGATTCCCAGTTAGCTGTTAGCTCCTTTTCATTCCTAACTTCAGAGATTCTCTGAATTTTTGGCAGCCAAACCCAAGCATTCTCACACACAAGCTCTTCTTTTAGCTGCTCTTCTGAAATTTTTTTTCTTTCCCCAACCAATGCCGATGCTTTGTCAAAGAACTCACCTAGCTCCTACTCAGAATGGCAGTCTGTTTATAAGATGTGAAGGGAATGGGCAATTCATTTTTGATGTAACACAGTCAGAATATGATTTTTGTCTGTTACCCAACTTTTCCCTCAGTATCCATAATATTGCTTGTGTTTTTCATTGTTGTTAACAAGAAACAGTGTTTGGACTACAGTGTTTTCACAGTGGTTTCCACATTTCTTTCCTAAGTAATAGCAGCAATCGACATGTTGAACATTAGGAATTTTTTACCCATCTACTTTGAAGTGTAGTCAGCAAAACTGAATTCCACCTATTTTTTGGTATAGCCAGTCACTTGGTATCATGATACCTTTCTATAAGATTCCATTACAGCTTTTAATTTCATATCACTTGTGAATATACTGAACTCCACAGTACTCTTTACTACACATGGTTACCCTATATCTTTCTGGAAAGGGACCAGCTGTTCTTAACATCTTTTTCACCTGTCTATCATTATGGTATAAATTCATAAGAAAACATACCCTCCTAAGTAAAAGAGGCTGATATTGCATAAGAGACACATAAGTAAAAAATTCATATTTTTAAATAATCTTATCAGTATCTAATTGACTTCCAATGACAATGGCAGTTTTGGGATTCACAATTTGCTGACTCTTCCCAAATGCATGAGTACATATTGGGTCAAAGAGCTGCATTCTTTATTGTAGCTTTTAGCTATTTATCCTATGTAGAAATCAATCAGTTCTAGCCAGTTTATCTACACTTACTGGTTTAAAATATTAATACCTTTTTCTAAAATCTCCTTTGTAAATTTATATATGATATCTTGCTCCATAATGTTTCTTCCTTTTTCAAAGTAATTGGCTTGTAACTCATTTGTACTGAAGACCAAAACTGTAATAATGGCAAAAGTTATGCTGGAATCAGAAGCCAGATTGGCATTTACAGAATCAAAATTGCTTCAAATATACATTAAAAGTTCACAATGTAGAAGTACACTAACTGTTAAAACATATTATATTAAAAAAAATATTGCATGGAAAGTTTCTAAGTCAAGCACTAAAAAGTTCGGAAATACTAATTTATTCCTACTGCATGTACATTTTCCTGTAGCATTCATTACCTGATATGTGATGGTTTGCATTTGTTTTTTTTTTAAAGGCTTCTGTCTTGTTCCATCTTGTTCAGTTTTTTTATATCTTTCACAATCATTGTCCATCTCTAAGTCTTATTTGAAGTATTTCACTGAACACAAAAATATAAAATAACTTTTAAATATTTGCACAATGTTGTTAGTATACCTTGAGAGTTCTTCATTTACAATACATCTACTTTCACATAACCCTACAAGATAAAGTTATATTATTATCCATTTATGTTCCTTGAAAGATGCATAGGGTGACAAAAAATTTTAAAACTCCTAAGCAGCAAGAGGAAATCCAAAGAAAACAGGAGTAAATTAAGTTGTCTGAAACGAAAATATGAAACACTCAGTATGTCTTTTGTTTTTCCTTTTATTTTAGTTTTGAAAAAGACTAATTACATGACTAAAAATTAACATTATCAGCACAGTTGAAGGACTTCTTCCCCTGATGATCAGATAAAGATTTACCTTGCCTGGATAAAGGATTGGTGGTGTCTTCTCAGTGAATTACTGATTCCAGCCTTTCTCTTTTTCCTCATGTGGAAAATTCTTTGAAGAAAATAAATAAACAGAAGGAAAAGAGATTAGATGCATGGATTTGCCTTCTAAAGATTCACAAAATGGATTTACACCAGAAATGAACAGTCAGCTGAAAGGAGATCATCTGAAGAGGTAGCTGGTCATTAGTACTTGTACTGCTCAAAAACTAGTTCTACAGAATTACTCTAAGTCCCTTAAAACTTCTTAATAGGAAAGAATCAGCAGGAGAAGTCATTCCAAAGGAAATTATGGACTCGAGTTTATCTCTACTTTAAAAATATGTAAATTTCAGGAGAGATCCTTTCATGGTATGTCATAAACAAGTGTCTCAGAGAGAGAAAGAAAAGGGTGCAGACTCTTGACAATGTGAATTATGACTCCTGATGGGACAGTACAGGACTAGAAAGATCTCTGCAAAGGCTGGAACAAAAGGGCATGACCAATAGCCTTGCAATGAACAGCTTTCTACTTAAAAATCTTCTAAAATCAAATATTTTGTTTTGGGAAATTGTGATAAAGAGCTTGTCTCTGGACTAATAAGCTACATCCATTCGTTAAAGGAAATATATTTAGACGTGTCCTCTATTACATCAGTCTCTTATCTGTGCCTGAATCTAAATCACATTCAGAACAGATGACTGACAAAACTGAAAGGAATAAAGGAAACAGAACATAAACCAAGTATTAAAAGGTATTAAAATAATGGTGTATAGACTGTACATAAAGTAAATTTTCACTGATAAATTGGAAACCATGAAAATTTCCAAAAATTACTTTGTAAACCTATGAGACTCTCTCACACATGTTATCAGTTAAGCTTTAGAACCAATAAGGTGTAAGCCCAGAAGAAGACAAATATTTACAGGAGAAAGAGAAAAGGACACAAGGCATATCAACAAGGCAGCTTAACAAAATTAATTACTATAAAACTACTATAGAATAAATCTGGGTGGTTTGGGAAGAAATAGGTGAAGTGCATTTCAAATACAAGAAACACTTCTATGTTATGAGATTCTCTCAAGGATAATGGGGTGGTACATTTTAAATGAAAATACTTATATTGTAAGAACAAAATTAAGTATGGAAACACTCAAAATTCTGACAAATAATCTTTCTTAACTTGTACGGTTGTAGCAGGCAAGGTTTTTGCCAGCATATGTCTTGTAACCTCTGGTATTCAATGTAATAATGAAAAGGAGAAAGGAACAGAAAATATGTTTGCAGATGGAAATTCCTAAATTTGAAAAAAGGGTTAAAATGACTGTTTAAAATAAGATGCAACTACATGTAGCATCTACCATATGTAGAGCAAATAATCTTCCTTAATTACCAATGCTGTGAAGTAGATGTCTAGTTTTGTTTTGGTTTTTTTAAAATAAGATCAGAGTTTGAAATTAATTACTCAATCTCATCATGCATCAAGATATGGAATTAAATTCTATTACCCTACATAAAATACAGTGTTATAGAACAAGTTGTCTGAACAACCATCTTTCAAGAAATTTATATAAAGTTCAGAGGACAAACAATTGCATATGTTAAGGTCTATTCCAAAGCTTTTCATCTTTAATTATCTCCATTTTAATGATGGAAGTTTAAAAACCAGTATTAACTGAGAAGGAATGGGAAAGTCATCAGAATGTCAGATAAGAATCTCACACCCTTAGAGAAGCTTTAAAGGATTATCCTCAGAGCAGTGTTGGTCAAATAAATAAACTGCTGAAAACTATCATCTCCCCGCTAAGTTAATGATGCACATTAGTTTCAAAAAAGATTTTCAGACTGCTTCATGTAAAAAGGAACTAATTTTCAAAACTCAGCTGGGATATAGGATATGAGATTGGAGTGCCTGCAAATTTACATAAAGATGGAATGAGAACTTATTCATAGCATCAGAAGACAAAACAAAACAAAACAAAACAACAAAACAAAACAAACAAAAAAAACCCCAAACAAACCTACACACCACAAAAGCATCCATTTTCCAGTTTGCAGAAGGATTTATTTCCCTAGATACTAAAGTTCAACAAAAATCTAGCTTATCACATGTAAGATGTTTTTTCTAGGGGAAAAGGATATATAACCTTAATGGTTAGGTATTAGTCTGACATGTCGTTGTAAACATGTCATTTTGGGAGCCATCACCTTGCTCCATTTGTCTAATGCTCAGACTACCAGATTAATCTCTCAAGTAAGAATGAAAAAAATTAACAATATTGGGTGTCCAAGACTTGCAGACTGGATGAATGAGAGAAAGAAAATTAAATGTCAATATTTGTTCATGAAATCATTATGAGAAATTTCTGTGGTACTCTTTCACGGTACCCGGTAGCTATTAAAAAACCTTTTAATCAGACTTAAATGCAGCATATTAAATAATTTCTAATGCTTTTTTTCCAAAATACTTCTGTATGCTTCACTAAAGAGTTAAATAAAATAAAGGAAGATGCATGCAATAGTCTCTGTGATTCATTTGACCTATTATTCTGTCTATAGGTAATTTGAATTAAAAAAGGAGTTAAGAAGGTAATTTAAGTGATACCTAATCTTATCTCATTGTTATTTTCACTGTTATTTTATGTAACAAAATAGATTTTCTAGGCAAATTGGCTAAACCCAGACATAGTTTCTGAAATATTTATTTCTCTAAGCAAACTGCAGAAATATTTTTGAAAATTCTTTCACAGTATTGAAATTTCTAAAGACAGAACTCAATAGTTCCTAATTGTATGTTTCAGATAATGATATTTTATAAACATCTTTCTCCATTTAGTAAGAGTTAAAACCTACATATCTTGAAAGAACTGAGGTATTTATGTTCATGTGGGAGACTAAATGATACTCATGAATTGTCATTGATCTTTTTAATGCAATGTAATGTTGGTTTTATTTTTCTGTTCAAAATCAAGACTATTAATTTTAATTATTCAGATAAGTGAAATATTGTTATGATTGAAAACATAAACATTTAATTGATTTTTTTTTCACTCTCCAAAATCTTATTCTTCATTATTCTTAATAGCTATAGGGCTTTTTTGACTCATACTGAATTATCAGTCTCCCTTTCACGTAATGAAAAGAGAGACTAAATAGATTATGACAATAGATAGATTATGCCAGTTATTACATTTATTACATTCATGATTCTTTCAGTTCTCAAGACTTATTTTTTGAGTTTGAATAGTTAAGAGTCACAGATACAACTTTTCCCTCCAAACTGGGAAAACTCTGTCCTATATAAAATAAAATAAATATTCCTAGTTCTTGTCAAAATAAAGAGAAGGGATGTTCTGACTCCTCTCCTTCTGAATCTGAATTACTACTGATAAGACTAAGATTTGCAAAGCTCTTCCACACAGAAGCTTAATAAAGCGTTTCTAAGGTGTTAATTTTTCAAAGCAAATCAATCTTGTGGACCAAAAAAAACGTTTGCTACCTATTATATAACACAAATCTTTGAGTAATTTTAAGTTGCTGGATCATGAAATGGCACACTTTGGAGTTCTTTTGGAATTTATTCTTTTCACAAAAAGGTGACTTCTAAAAGTAATTATGACCGTGTTGCCACAGCTCAATGAGAATTTGCAGCATTGAAAGACATCTAAAGGTAAAATGCTTAAAAATTAATTACACACTTCATTTAAACCATCTTAAATCTTCTTCTAGATTTCCAAAATGATCTACAATTTTAAGCATTGTTTGTCTCCAGCCTCTCAAATACCAGGCATAACTTACAACCTGCTCACTCCATTTCTAATTCTTCAAACTCTTGTTACACATGGTGATATTCTTTTCTGAAGAATTTTTTATCTGGCCTTTTATTATACACTTTATGGCATGTAAATTCAAATTTTACCTGATGAGAAGTCAGGTTAACCTTGACCATAAGTCTGATGTTGTGCACCTGAACTGTGTGAAACACAAACAAACCTGGGGAAAGTTGATGAGTAAGAAACATAAGCAAAGTGGTCTTATTAATCTACTATTAAGTGTAAGCTGTGTATTTCAGAAGAATAGCAATGGAACAGTATGAGAAATGTGGAACATCACACAACAGTCCTGGAGGTTCACACTTCAATCATTCCAAACAGATAATTGCCATCATGGTGATTTGGGATTGCAATATGGGACACAAAGTTACTGATTAGAGCTTTGGATTTTGTTCAGCCCAAAGAAGGGAAGGCTAAAGGAGGATCTTGCTGCTGTCTTTAACATCAGCGTACGGCTGTCACGGTTGTTGTTTATTTTATTAAGTTTTATTAAGTTGATTGTTGAATGGTTTCTTCCATTATCCCCCATTTTTCCCCAAGTTGGTTTCTTCTAGAGTTGTGCCCTCCCTTCCATCTGTCCCTCAAGGTATCCCCCTCCCTTTATTCCAGACTTCCCTGCCTGCAGGCAACCCTGCCCCTTCTTCCAGAACATTCCCCGCCACTCATCATTTGGACCAACCCCCAACCAAGTCCTTTCTCCTCCCCTTATCCTGGTTGGTTTCTGCCCCCAAACTGCACCTCAAGTATGACAACATTGGCTGTCCTGTTGTATCCACCTCCCATTTCGCTGTGCCTTTAAACCCCATGCAGAGAGGTACTCGGGTCTCTCTGTGTCCTGACCTCTCTGACTTCTTTAAAGGTTGTTGGAACCTCGTGACTGGAGCGTCTCCTCTGCCTTCTCTGTTTGGTCCCTGACCTGCCACATAGGAACCCCGTCCCACTACCTAGAGCATTGATGGCTCCAAGGTTCTGGTTTCACCAAGACCTGGGGTAAAAACAAAACCTTCTCCAAGGTTTTGGTTTCACCCCAGCAGAGGCAGTTCCCCACACTCACCACTCCACTGGAGAAAATCAGAGCTAGCCCAAGTTCCAGTGCACAGTGGCATACAGCTGCAGAGAGGGTGGCATTAGCATTTTCTTGGCAATACACAAGTTTGTCCTTGGCAAAAGAAGGACAATGGGTAAAAATGCAATGACTGATATCCCAGTGGGATGTTCAAAAAAGTAATAGATTATGTCTGAAAAACACCAGAATAGGTGTTTTTCTTTAGATCACAGGGAGATCTGAAGAAACCCGAGCCACCTGACTGAACTAAAAAAGCCAGCATCAAAGTCTACCTTATTCTGAACAGTGGGTCTTACTAGACGATTTAGGGAGATACCTTCCAATTTCACCTATTCTCTGATTCTAGTCTATAATACACACATATCTTTTTTTTCCACTCCCTGCATTCTTTACTCAAATTTTCTGAATACTACTCCCACATCTTTCTGCTTTCTCACAGAAACCCCAGACATGAAGCCACAGCACTAACTGTATGAAAATGCCCAAATGCCTTAGTTTGAGACAATTTAAATGAGAACACTCTGAAATTAATTTTCTCTCTTCATAAATTCAACCAATCCCTTTCCACCAATAAGGAATGAATGCAAGCACATGTAAGTGAAAAAACAACAGTTTACTAACAAGCAAAACAGCAACAGTCATGAAATAACAGCAAATAACCACCAGATACAAAACTGCTCAGTTTGCCCCAAGGCAGTCTCTCCGAGATGAAAAAGAAACCAAAAGAGAACCCAAAATGGAAAAGCCTCTGCCTGCAGTGCTGAGATTTGATAGCAAGAAATACAGACCCAAACCAAGTGACCAGAGAGCTCTGCCTAAGGCAAAGATGAAGCAAAATTCATGCAGCAAAAGAGCTCAAGCTGCCTGTCAGAGCAGACTTTAAAAAGGCCATGATACGGTCCATGACCTCGCCATTCTATTTCCTGCAGCACTGCAGGTCTTCAAAGACACAATAGCAATCTTGGGCACAGATGCATATGGAATACAATGACTTTTTGGGTTACCCCAGGGAAATAAAGTATTACAAAATAGTAAACATGTGATGCATGTACCTGAGAGGCTGATCAGAAATAGTTGTGATTACTGACTACAGGCAGACAGCAATCCAATGCATTTCTCAGATTGAGCTTGTCATCTGTTCTGATGCTCTGCACAAAGTGAGTTACCTGCATTATTTCACAGACTGTAATATGCATGTAAAATATATACATCATTTAAAATTTTTTTCAAGACTGTATTAGTGTCTTCCTTGGAAGCAGGATGAGAAAAGCATCAGGAAAAGCTAGAAAATGTTACTGCTTTTAATTGTATGGAAGCAGAAAATCAATTGCAAATACAGAAACATAGCACAGCAATATGAAGTGTGAAACAAATTTGAGGATGCACTTCAGAACTGATAAGCATAATTTCTCATACTAAATTTAATATTACAGTTCATATAATACATCAGAATATAGTTATATGCATATTTTGTACACTGTTCTATAACTGTACAAAAATATTTATAGCAAAGACCCTATAATCTTCCATTAAGATTCATTGCAACAGTGGAATTTAGAAATGTTTTTCTTAAAAACTCAGCTTTTAAGTTAATGATTGAATCAAGTGTTATTTTTCTTTTAAAAACCTAATATGTATGTTCTGAGATTGGTTTAGCCTATCAGGTTATATTAATGTAAGATTAATCAAGAAATTTTGCATTTTCTAACCTCTCATGTGGAAAATTTTATGCATATTATTTGTAAATGTGAAAACCTCAGGAGCAGGGCTGCATTAGCAGATCCTGTTGCAAAGGTATCCTCAATAATTTACAAACCAACAAAGCCTGAATTGGATAGAAGTTGTTTCAGGCATAACTTCTAAAATAAATGCAGAGAGCACCATCTTCTGGAGTCATTGAAGTATTGACACTCTTCACAGTGAAAGCAGAGCATTGAGTTTCAGTTAAATAAATGTTTATAGATGCAACAAGCTTAAAAAATTGTTCTGTGAGCAGAGTAATTAATCAAGCATGGTTTTAAATGGGCTACTATTCTGATTCTCATAGCAGAAAATATTCGTGTCCTTGCCAGCTCCTTCTGCATCATTAGGGACCGCCTTGCTCTGCAGCGTGATGTGCAGCTCTCTTCACAGAAACTCCTTCAGACAAGGGTTTCTTCTCACAGGGAACTTGCTACTCACACTCTGGTTAGTTCAGAGCTACATGGGAAGTCAACTGGTACACGTGATGTTTGGCAAAATTTTGGCTGTTTCTTGGAGCAGTTAAAGGACTGAACATTTTGCTGGAACTGTCCAACAAATTAAAAAGCTGCTGGAAGTTGAACAAGAAATTGAGGCTGATGGAGTTATATCAGGTTATTAGTCCAAAAGCAGTTGGCATAAAGCAGATAAGCTGTACCAAATTAAAAAAAAGAAAGCTCATATACCAATTAACAGTTTTGCAGAAAAGGACCTGGGGTCCTGAGGAAAAAGCTGATCATGGGCCAGCAGTGTGTCCATGCAGCAAAAGCAGCCAAAAGCATTCTGGGCTACTGCAGGAGCGTTGCTGCCAGCAGGTTAATGGAAGTGATTCCTCCCCTCTGCTTGGCCCTGGTGAGACACATTTACAGTGCTGTCCAGACCTGGGCCCCCTTGCTCTGAACACAGGGCTGTGTACTGATTGGGACAGAATTACATTTCTTAATAGCCGTCTGTACAGTGCTAGGTTTGGATCTGGGGTCAACACAGTGTTGATAACACACGAGTGTTTTAGCTGTTGCTGAGAACTGCTTGCACAGTAATGAGGCTTTTTCTGTTTCTCACTCTATCCTCTCCCTTCACAGCAGGTAGACTGGAGGTGAATAAAAGCTTGGAAGGGAACACATCAGGACAGCAGACTTGAAAAGACAAAGAGATATTCCATGCAATATAACATCTCTTACAGCAATAAAACTATGGGGGTGGAAGAGGCTTTTTTCAAGGTAGCCGTCACTCAGAGACTGACTGGGCATCTATCTTCATCTCAACATGCAGATTTTCTCCTTTTTGCCCTTTCAATTATTTCTTCCATCCTGTTGGGGGTGAATAAGTAAGAAAAGGAATGTGGGCTTAGCTGCCAGCAAGGGTAAACTCCCTTAAATGGATAATCTGCAGAGGGGCCTTCTGGTGCCTCAGCTATTCTGTGTTTCTAAAATACCTAGACATGGAGTTGACCTGCCACAGGATTCCTCTCTACAATATTATATGCCTTTGTGATCTTGAAAAAATTACTTTAAAATGAAAATTAGTACTCCATGCATGTTCTTTATCTTTCCCACCGTGGTTTACATTGATGAATTAATGACGAAGATGAAGAGTATTCACTTGCACCAAATGCTGAAGACCCCATATGAAGAATCTCTTGCTTAATCTATCAGTCTAACTTTACAGGATTTTGTCTTTAACACCACACTAGCAACAGCTCACAAGTGCAGCATTTTCTAGCACAATATCCAGGTACACAAGCCCATAAATTCTCTGTTTCTGTCTAAAATACCTTAGTTTTAAAAGGAGGAACAGATTTTTCAATCTAAAGTAGATTTAATCAAGTTTTCAAAACAAGGAAATTCTTGGACAACTATTTTATAGCATAATTTTCTTTTCTTCACATTCTGTCATACAACATAGTTGCTTTTAACTGGATGACAGTATTATCACAGTGTTATTACTATGTCTCCTTGCTCTGTTGAGCTATGGACATGCAATTGGCTACAAGTTAGTTTCAGATTTATCTTCTCCATTAGAGGTCAGCAGAAGACCATTTATCTGCACAGGATCTGAATGGTTCCCATTTCCTGTTGAAATTCTAGGTCATTAAGCCATTAAGCCAGTCACAAGAAAAAATGAATTTGACATTATGGGTCAGAAAAAGCTAAGGCTTAAAGTCAAAAATAGCTATTGCCTGTTCCATGTAGAATAGTTTTATTGTAGAATCATTGTAGGCAAATTTAGATCACTTAAAAATGTGTAATGTGAACGATTATGCCATGAAAATGAATGGCAACATAAACACAGAGATTCATCTAGTGTAGACATGCCTATAAGATCCTTCTTATGCAGAAAAACTGCAATGAAAACTCACAATTTTGTTGTCTTTCCTCATGTTTTCAGTACCACTGAAAAGTTACCTTTACTTAAGAGAACAACTAGATCAGAAGATTCCTCTTTCAGTTTTTTCTTAAGTACCCTTGTACAAAGAGAGCATTTCACTTCACTTTGTACAGAAGAATTTCTATAATACCAAGGCTTCTTCAAGTCTGAAGTTTGTAATGACCTTTAGACAGTCACTAAGAAACCTTCAGAGGTGTCCAATAAGCAAACATATAGAAGTAAGAATTACTTTTTGATTTAACTGCTGTCATAGGAACTGTAGTGTTTACATTCCCAAACTTAACCTCATTGTTTTGGTTAGATCTGAAGAATCCTTCCAGAATAATTCTGATAAGGATTTGTGAAGGAATGATGCACTCACATACATCAAGTTATTATAAATACTGAGTTGAACTCACCTACAATCAAGAGTGAAAAAAGTTCAGACTAATGAGCTCAGGAGTGCACTCAGGGAAGCAGTTCTTAAAACACATCAGAAACCTCTAACAGTATCTGAAAAATATGTCATTTGAGAAAAACGTGACAATATTGAAAAAGAAGTAATAAACTGAAATATATTGATATAGAAACAAAAAATTCTTACGTCAATTTTTTTTTCTTACTTACCTCATGTATTTTTTTCATCAGAAGTAGGCTTATCTATAGACAGATCTCCTACATTAAATTTTCCCTGTAGCAGATTCTCTACCAAAGTTTATTTTTGAAGAATATTAAGCAGAGGTTCTCTAGTGAAAATAATCTGGAATGGAATTTTCTAGTCTGAGAAAAAAAATTCTTTTGAGGATTATCAGACTGCTGCAGGAGATTGAGGCCAGAATTACTAGAAAAAGAGTAATATCCAGGCAATACCTCGAAAGATTTTATAATTTATAGGAAATAAATTTCAAAGTAATTTTACATTCCTCCTTGAATAAATTCTAATGTAAAAATCATTATCATCACATGAAATGTTGCATACCATCTTTTGTTGAGTTATTTCTTCCCTTGCTTAAACACAGTAGGCAGCTTCCCTCTGTCTATGCATAAAAAGATATTGTATAAATAATTATGATAAATTGATTAAAAAACCCTTACTGATCAATAAATTTGTGATAAAATTTCATTTCCTGAGATTACTAGAACCTCTTTCTGAGCTCTATTTTCAAGATTAAGACAATATGTATAAAACTGAAAAGACAAAAAATCTTTCCACACCCTAAATGTTAATATACTCTAAGACATCATAAATGCAAAGCCAAAGAGAAACAACATAAAGATCCGAACAGCTTGGAAATCTGATTTACTATAGAACTGCAGTAGGAAAAAAACGCAAAACCAAAAATCAAACCCACAAAAAACTCCCCACAAAACAAACACATGTAACTGTATGTTGCTGTATGTTGTGGGAGAGGAACGTGTACCTGCCATTCCTTGTTTCAGAATACTGAATTTTATTGCTGACAAAAAGTGAAAACACCATATACAAATGAGAAAATCCCAAACAAGCATATTAAAAGTATTAGTAAATTAACAAAACCACAGCAGGTATGACTGGTCCAATAACACTGTTATTCACAGTCCAGTTGCCACAGTAAATCCTCATTAATAATATCCTCTTTAAAAACACCATACAAGAACAATTGCTAATACTGACCTCATATTGTTGGTACTAAGATCACCCTTGCAGTGCACTTCTTGATCCTCCTGCAAGCAACTTCAGTCTCCCTAAAACAACTGCCCTAGGGGGAAGCAGAGGACGTCACACTCTTAGTCTTTGTCAGAAAAGGTCCATGGTTAAGGTTTCTTCCTCCTGTTGTCTGGCAGAGAGTCAGTGATTTCTTTCTGCTCAGCCTTGGGCTTGTTTGGGTTTATATCTGCACTTTTCCTCAACACAGCCCACACCTCTGCTGGTACTGTGCAGACCCATCTCACACTGAGGAGGTCACACCAGCAGCCAGGGTGGCCAGCACCACCCAGACCAGGGCCAGACTCTGGCCCCACAGGTCCCAGGGCAGCACGGACATTCTGCTAATGATGATAAAATCGTATGCATGCAGAGAGTGGCACACTGCCACGGCTCCTGAGGGACACCACTACAACCACAAACACAGTCCCAGTGGTGCCTTACCTCGACACGAGCCCTGCTCTCACTGTACCATGAGGGTGTCTCATGCCATGTTTTGCTTAAGTCCACTTCTGCCAGTAATTCTGAGTGTTTAGCATTTCAATGGCTCCTGAAGACTTCAGAGAAAGTAATCCTGAGGATTTAATTTTAGGGCAAAATGCATGCCTGTTGCAAAGGAAATACAAGTGAACCATAAAACACACATCTCCCTAGGAAAAAACGCTAACAAACCACACAATGCAACATAGAGAGAGACTTGCATAAGTATATTAAATTGTCACATTTTCACTCTTTCTCAGGGAAAAAATAGTGGTTTTACAGACTCACAGACACAGACATCAGTTGATCAAGTAACTTCTGCGACTAGGGACCTCAGATAATGGGAAAGCTGGACAGGACAGAGTGCACATCCAACCAATATGATTAATTCAACATTCTCCATTTATTTGAGAGAAGATGGCAGTTTATATACACTTCTCTATAGTTTACAGTTTACAAAGACACTCTGATTGGCATGCTAACATTGTTTACCTTTTCCTTAAGGTGGTCAGGCTTTTCACACTACAGGTCTACTCTTATTCACACTAGGATAGCTCATTACTTTGTACTTACCTTAACATAATTTTTAACTGTGCCACAATTGAATTCTTACTGCATCAAAGGCCCCTAGGCCCCATCAAGGCTGCTTATCAGTCTGAGGGGTAGCTCAATTCTCACTCCAGACGTAAATCATGCCCTCTGTCTCTCAGAAATATTATAACAAACTTCTCTTTTGGAGGCAAAAAGGGAAGTCTACGATTACTTGCTATATTTTTAAGGTCAGCAGATTATTTCCAGTGCTGAAAATAAATTTATAACATAAATTTACCTTCTGAGAAAAAAAATTGCAATTAACAGAAAAACATAGGAAAACCGAAGGCAAATCTGCAGCCTGATTGATGCAGGCTAAAATCTGTGGTGGAAAGCATCATGTATTTCATGAGGCAAATATGAGGCTGTAATTGCTTTGTTTGTGAAATTGTAGATGAAAGAGAATTGCTTTTTATATGCATTTCATTTATTTTGTGAAACGTGAAATATTGGTTTAGCATTGTTCTATGGTAGATTAGATTCTATCATCCTCCCATATTTCTAGTCTTAGTCTGACTCAGATATATTTTACTTGAATGCTGCTAAAATAATTTTAATAGAAATAAATAAGGAAACAAACAACTCCCTCCATATAATTTCCACTGTAACTCATCAAATTAGGGAGGGGAGGGGGGAGAAATACCCCAAACAATCAAAATCACATCAAGAATAATGGTAGACATCTAAAGCAATTTCCTACATCAGAAAAGCTGGTATTTTTGAAAAGCCCATAAAAATTTCTAAGAGGACTGTGCTGCCTTTTCAGTACTCACAGAAAATAAAAACAGTATGCATGCATGCACTAACATCAGTGATTAGACAGACCCATATGACAATTACTGTTTTTTGACACAACAATAAATTATAACTGCTGCCAACATCTCTTGTCTGTTCTTCGCTATGACATTTCCCCATGGTTAAATAAATACAATGGTATCTCAAAGAGTAAACTGTAAATTACAAACCCCAATATTTTTCAATTGTTTTGGGATCCAAGCTGTGTAGTGCAATATTACTACACAACTATGAAAGTTCTATTTTAGCATCAATTAAAAAATAAAATGAAAAAGAGAAGTTTCTCAAACTAATATAAAAAGGTAGCACTTGTCTGATACAACACAGTACTACTACAAGTAATTACAGCAAAAGCACAACATGCTAAATCATCACCATGGTGCATATTAGCCCAAGTTATATCAGTCTTTCTGCTCACATTCATCTCTCAGAAAATAGCCCAAATGCCACCCATTTTATGAGGTTGAATATACACTACTGTGACAAAAGATTTCTTCAGCAATTTACAGAATGTTTCACACTAATTATATTAGGAAGAGCACAATCATCTTGTTTCTGTTCCACTAGCAGGAGGGTAAGTTTCAGACAAGCCTGCCTGTGTGGGAGAATTACTTTGCTAGTTATACTGGGTTTGCTGTAGCATGAAGAAAAAATTAAATTGACCTTTTCTACAATTCTGTGTTTGCATTAAAGCATTATTAATTTCGTGGCCTTACACAGGCAAAATTTGCAAGGACTCTGAGATGAATATTCTGTGCTAATACAGCAACAACTGATTTAATCCTCTGAAAACTGTTTTTAAAAATCAAACATTTTTTCAGACTTACACAATCCACATCACTCAAACTGCAGCACAGAAAACAAACCATAATAGTACATGAGAGCTAGATCCTAGCTATCCAGCAACATTTGGCCTGACATTCATATCTGGCTGGTTTATGTTTACTTGTTTCCAATGAATCTCATGTATGCAGCTATTTCTTTGGAATTCTAACCCTTCACTATAACAGACTTATGTGCAGCAGCAGCAGCCTGATGACCAGTATCTCTTCTATGTGTTGGCTTCTTGTTGTGTGCATTGTTCTTTCAAGAAGAGTGACCAGACAAGGTAGAAGTGAAAAGAGGGCAGTGATATTGCTGGGGTTAATGAATATGCACCAGAGGAGAAGTTTCTGTGTTGCCAATTACAGCAAGCAGTGATTACCCAGGCAGCCAGGCTGCAATTCACACAAAGCGATAGGCAGGCTGCTGTGGGGACAGGAAAAACAAATTAAGAGAGGATTTTGCAGAATTTGCAGTAACCCAGACACATGCTGTACAGACTGAAATTAGGCCCAGAAGCACAGTCCACTTCGTAGTGATCCTAAAATAGGCAGGGAGCTGTGTATATAGATAGACCTTTTGTTCTAATGTTACATAATCATCCTACTAGAAATTGCAAATCTAGTGGATTATAAACTGATAATTTCCAAGTTTGGTGTCTTAAAATGTTTTGGGGTTCCATTGAAGAGCTTAGTAGTATGGAAAGCTCTAGAATTATCTATTTGTAAGTTCTGGCTAACTCCTTTTTTCTGTTGGACTTAAAATATATGGTATATCAAGCTACACTGAAATGAATAGTTTTCATATTTCTCACTCCTTCTCCCAGGACAGAGGATAACATTCTATGCCATACCTGCACAGAAATGGGCTGGTTCAGCCTCAGGCAAAAGTGACTAAGAGGGGGCTTCATTCAAGCTTATAAGTGTCTGAAGACACGGTGTCAAAAAGATGAAGTCAGGCTCTCCTCAGAGGGCCAAGCAATAGGAAAAGAGGCAATGGGCAGAAAATGATGCACAGGAATTTCCTCCTGAACATAAGGAAGAATTTATTTACTGTGTGGGTAACCAAGCACTGGAACAGATTGCCCCGAGAGGTTGTGGAGTCTCCCTCACTGGAGATATTCAAGAACCATCT